AGAGCACCAGCTAAATAAACACCGACAGTCCTTCTATGTTTCCCGAGCGTAAACTCAGGAAACGGGTTCAGACAGACTCTTCTGGGATCGTAATTAGCCCGGGGGAGAGACATCTGTGGGAGGCTATTGGGGACGAAGATGGAGAGTTCGAGCTGAGAGAGGACGTGCTGCGAGTTGGGGAAGGAGGGGGAGGAGGGAGGAAGGAACGGTTGTGTGAGCGTGGAGAAGATGGAAGTGGGAGATGAGGAGGGAAGACGGCGTCAGAGCTCGCTAGGCACAAGTCCACGTGCATGGACCACTCGTCACGCGGGGAGATCTGGCGATGGACCGTGTGCGAGACCGTCACTATGATTGGTTGATGTGCGATCTCTGTTCGTAATGACGAGAAGGAGGATGGGCTCGAGGCTGAGGATGATGAGCTCGAGGAGGAGGAGGAGGTAGAGGAGGTCGACTTGAAGTTGAGCATCGTTGGTTGGTTGCGCTGTTTAGCTGGGGGCGGTAAGTTGCTGGGGAAAGAGCCCGACTGGTAAAGACCGGGGTTTTATAGGGATGGCTGATGGAAAGGAAGGCAAGGAAGGCGAGTACATCGGAATCTATCCATGCTTACCCAACCAACAACCGGTCTTCTTCTTTCTTTATCCACCTTCCATCTCACCCCAAGATCTCCTTCGTCTATACATCCAACGAAGAAGCCTGCCTGAACCCTGTTCCTTATTTCCTTTCCGTCCAATCATCAGAAGACTCCCACACTGCCATAGCATTGATGCATATCCGAAAGTTAGTGTAGCATACTCGTCCTCGCTCCTGCTGTGTGTGCACGTCAAGACACTGAACCAGACTGGACCGTTCTTGCATTAATAAAGAGTGTAGAATGTTCTACTCGGAAAGCGTATAATGCGACAGGACGCAAGTCCCACCAAGTATACGAGTAGATGTCAGGAACGGGCTCATTAGGTCTGCCACAAACAGAGAGCTTCTGGAAAGCGCTAAACATGGTCTACACCCCGAATATTAGCCCGACCTTGGCGGCGCCCGACCTTGGCGGAAGTAATGTGGCAAACCGTTGCGTGATTGGACAGCGGGAGGGCAGATGATCAGCTATCTGCCCAATCCTGGGCCAGAATTCCGTCCACCTTTCCTCTGCCTGTCGTTCCGAGCTGGGCCCACCTGGAGAGCTCGTCTCCGAGATGTGGAAGGAGTGCTATCTGTCTATTCTGTGTATGGGTGCTATCCTGCTGTGTATCCTACGTACCTCGGAGGCTTGAGACCGGTGTACGTTTGCATGACGGTGTGCTTGCGTATCCCCTACTATGGCTACTATACACGTTGCAGGGGGTGTCTGTACTGTGCTTCTTCCTCTCAGTGCGTAATCAGCACGGCATCCTTTACGGCCGTCTCTGTCCACCGCCGCTCGCCGCCTTACTAACACAAGTCGGCGTGTCCGATCATCGCTAGCTGACCGACACATACAAAAGTGCTGACATCCATTACCACATCCGCTGACGGAGCGCAACGCGCAAGCAAGTCTATTCCAATGCTATGTATGCACACTCACGAAACACCTCCGTCCGACCAGCTGTCCTCCTAGTACTGTATAGCGCATACGCTGAGTACCCCGCATCTTCTTAGTACACACGGCTAACAGCTTCCTAACATATCAGGATCACAAGCACCGTCAAGCATCCACACGGGGTACTAAGTTGCGGTATGCATGTTGCTTAGAACCCCGTTCTTCCAGTTTAGAAATGCTCATGCTCGTGCGAACCCCGTTACTTCCATGTCTTCTAATCGATGCGATCCTATCCCGGTTTTTCAGGAGGGATGCTCAGCTCAGAGCACTCTCCAAAGACGTTATCTCAGTAACGCAGCATGCTCCAGATTCATCTCAGCGGGTAACCCGGCCAGCTCAGTCACTTGCAGATCGTAGTCCTCTGAGCTCCGGAACTCTATTCGTCCTCTCCCAGGTCCTTTGCCGCCGGCGTTACTTTGGCGTTACTGGGTAATGGGCTATAGAGGCCGGATCCGGTGACTTCCAAGCGCCTGCCTGTCGGCAACTCAACGCCTCCTTGATTTTGACCATGATGTCTACCTTGGATCCTGTAGACAGTTAAACCTCCTGCCAGCATAACATCTTCCGCTACTACAGACTCACACAGTCCCAATCGACGGCGACTGGACTTTCCATCAGAGATGACAACGCCGCCAGCGCAACCCTCCCTCCGCGTTCTACTCCGCCGTGCTTCGACCTCAAACCGCAAGCGTCAAGCAAACTTCCCATCGTTACGGCGACCTATGCAAGCTCACCAGAACCCACCGAGATCGCCTTCCATCCGGAGCGCCAGGACTGACTGGAGACGCCTTCGATATTCTACTTCATGGGTCTACGTGTACGGCGCCCGTTTTCAAATCGATCGTCGGCGTCAAGGTCAAGGTACGTGGCAGGAGATGACGCTGAACTCGGAGGAGACGGCTGGGAGTTACATTGACCCCAATCCGAGTCGCTGAGGACGGACGCGGAGTGTCCGAGTCGCCGTCTGTGCTTGGTGAACGCTCCGAGTCTGCACGGCACGCCTTTGCTGTTATCTTCAGCGCCACTCCTGTTTCTTCGTGGTCTTCTCGTCATTCTCACTGGAACACTTTCATCGGGTGCAATCGGTGGGCACAAGCGTCCACTCATCCGTCACTCATGAGCCTGAGAGCGAGCCTTCTGCGCGATAGACATGTTCTGATGAGTACTGCTTACGCTAGGGCCTGTAATCTTCAACGGAATTGTGCGTCCACGACGTATTCCGACGGCTTTGCCATGTACTCGGGTACTACGTCGAATTCGCTCGCTGGCTTCTCGATAACTGGCGTAAAAACACAACGTTCTCAGAAGGGCTGTGTACGTAGAAGCGTTGCGGGGAATTACATGATCTTCTGCGTAGGTTCTGTTCAAGACATCGAGGCTAATGAAGCTTTCTCTGCCGGCGGTTACATCAACAACCCTTTGTTGCGTTCGCGATCGTTCAAGAACATGGAAGTTGTAGTTCCACCAGGAAAAACACCATCTATTTGATTGCTCCTAATGCGCTGAACAGAGCTATTAGGAACATTCAGCCCGAGTGGTTGGATTAAGCACGGGTCTGTGCTTAATAGCACTTAGCAGCGAGGTTTCTAGGGAGAAATGCGCTTCGAAGAACCACGATTTCACGTCGTTAAGCAGCATTAAGCCACGACCCGGCTCTTGATTGGCTCCTAATAGTGCTTCACACGCTAAGTCCCACCAAGAACACTTTGGGCACAGTCAAATAGATTTTGTCTTTCCTGATGCTGCTTCCCTGTGTTTTGTTAATCGACTTAGAATATCCGCTAAAGCCTACTTAAGACGAGCTGTTACGTGAACCACAACCGCGGCGTCGTCGATGCTCGGGTAACAGTAGCGACATTTCTCCTCGCTCACATCCATTCGCGACGCTTCATTCCTCGGAAATGCAATGGTGCAAACGCCTATTCTGTACGACTTATTCTCAGAGCTCTTCTACACCTTGTGATACACTTTGTTCGTGCTGAGTGTTACATAGGATTAGCGACAGACTCGAAGGTGACGCCGACGGAGAAAGACTACGTACGACGCCAGATCTATCTACTTTTGCTGCTGCGCAGCCGCATTCTCCTAGCGCTTCCACCTCGGTTAACCCGTCCTCTCGTTTCGTGAGCTTCATACCGGCGTGAGAAAGTCCGGTGCTCCTGCGTCTCACGATCCGGTCGCAAGTCTGCATTTAATCCACGAGTTCGAGATGGTCTCCCACGCACGCGACTCGTGGGCCAGGTGGTGGAGAAAGTCATCCGGTCCTTGTGCATGCTGGATCTTTCTCGTCGGAGCTGCTTCTCCTCATCTGAGTGCTTTCGATCCGTGAACTCATATCCTGGGAATACCTCGGTACTGCGTGTCATGATCACAAGTCCACTAAACTATGTTCATCGATTTATTGAGTTCGTTCGAATGATCTGGGCCTTTGCGTGCCTGATATACGACGAAGCTCGAAGACCATGCACTACGTAACTTACTTACGACTACATGTCACGTCGAATAATCAGGCACACATTGCATGCACGCAAGCATGTCCGAAAGTCACAAAGAAGCTGACGGATCGATAGGTCGGTCATCAGACGGTTCTGAGCAGATTATCACGTTCTCTCCAGTACCGTTTTGATAGGCGGTCGGACATTTGGCGATTCCTTTGAGGCAGCTGAGAACTCGAAGCGTCAGAGGCGTTTGACTGCCAGTGCTCGCTTCACTCACGATACGGGCCGTCGTGGCTGAAGATCATTCGTCGTTTGCCCAGGAGCGCTACGAGGCGTATGAAAAACCACACCTTAAAGCCGTCGCAAATCACATCGCAGCTGCTCTAGATTCTAGCCACCATTGACGTCGGCGTTCGTTCGTATGTTCTGTCATTCGGCACGTCTCAATTTTTGCGTCAGAACCACTGGCCCAGTCCCATAACTTTTCGATGGACAATTTTCGTACATGCGTGCCTCGGACCATCTCACGCTTAATGAAATCCATTCTTGACGTATCTGCTGTTCATGACAGGCACCATGGGAGGTCAAGAATCAGGACATTGGCATGTCGCTGGCATTTTAACACTGTACCATGATCACCAGGTTGTGGGAACAACTTGGGAGAAGTCGACCTCTTAAAGCATGATCCTAGAACGGTAGTGCTCGCTGATAATGGATAAAGGCCTAGGCCTAACTAGTGTACGGTGTACACAAGCACACCTGACATACATGCGTTGACACAATCGTTGCCTGTGCAGGTCTACCTTTAAATTGCCGACTAGCAGCTAGCCACATATGTCTGCAATGCAAGCAGACCTCCCCAAAGTTGGTCCGCTCTTGAGTTGTAACAATGACGGTGACTGGAGTAACATGTATAGAGATAGAGAATCATAGAGTCAAAACCTAACGGTGACTGGATGATGCAAAAAGAGAGCCGACGATTTGGAGGCATATGCATCAAGAGGGAATCGAACCCCCGGCGGGTCGAACTTGAGTTCGAACTTGGCAACGACCCAGGTTACCACTACCCCATTGATGCTTGTCAAATGTTGTCCTGCTTGAAAATATAATGTTAAAGACATTTGTCTCCTCGAGAAACCACGGATTATCGACGCCAAACTGAAGGTGTTTCTCTATAATCAAGAGGCTGGGGGATTTTGCAGATCCAACTGACCACGGGCGCGCGCGTCGAGAGCTTGGCCGAAGAGCAGCATTCAGTAAAGTGACTGGTGGCGCAAAATCGATGGGCCATGACCAACCAGAGCTTTTACGCCCGACGCGCCGCCTTGATCTTGATTTTGACCTCAACCTCTGCTTTGCCCAAGTTGCCTCGCATTGTGCAATACTCACCTCATCTGCCTGCCCGTCATGTCACCGTCTCGTTATGTGCCAAGTCTCCCTTCTGCGTCTCTCTTTTCCTCGGCGCAGCCACCATAGTCCATCACTGCTCTCAGTCGCACTGGATCAATGGCCTCTGGACACGAGAACCCGCGATGGGCCTATTTCTCAGCGGGCGAAAGCTGCAAAATGCATTGCATTGTACGATGCGCCATAGAGACTGCAAGCGCGCCACAGGTCTTGTCACCATTGAGGACGAAAGCGCCTCGCAGGCCACAGTCACTGTCGCCATTGTCGCTGCCTCTCCACTCGAAAGTATAAAGCCACTTCGGGGTTTCCTTTGTGCATCTCAGAACACTGTCGCCACTCCACTCCTCAATCAGAGAACCTCAAGGATCTTCTTTTTCGTCCTCTCTGCTTACCCGATGAACACTATGCTGCTCACCCCTTGTGCTAGTTCACCTTTCGAATTCAGTGTCACTACACCGACCGTCCTGCCCTTCTACTCACACACCAAACGCGTCCAAGTCCGAATCTGCAGACGTGCCGATCGGAGCTGGACCAACTTCACCCAGGTGATTAACGAGCATGAGCTGAGCACCACTTACAATTTCGTACGTTATTCCGAGTCTCGTCCTGTGCATGATGAACATCAACTAACCCTCTCCCCTTGTCTGCATGCACAGACCCGACCCCGGTCTATCCTCCTCGAACTCTACGTCGTCATCCAATCCTTCCACGCCTCCGAAGTCGACCTCATCCACGAAGAGTTTCACAAAGGCCTCGAAAAGATCAGCAACCTCTTCCTCTCCCAATCTCAACTCCAGCCCTGCTCCTTTTCGTGCACATTCCCTATTACGGAAGCGATTATCGTTCAGACTGATCCGAGCGCGAGGAAGATGAGCATCTCGGGTTTGAGCTTGAATGAGAAGGTGAGGGAGTGGGCAAAGAAGTGCGGGGCTGTGTTGACTGAGGGAGAGCTCGAGGGGCGGGGTGGAGTGGCGTTTCTGAAGAGTGCTGCGCCTGGGCTGACAAGGAGTGGCAGCATGGGGACTGGGAAGTCGAAGAGGATGGGGTATATCGCCAGTGGACTGGGAACACCAAGGGGAACATAGTCTCCGCTGACCTAGGGTTGCGATGCGATGACGCCGTTCGTTTCCCGTTTGTCAGATATGCGGTTGTGATTCCTGTATTTGTATGAAATGTGGAAATTTGTTCCTTTTTATGTCGTGTGAGCATACGATACAGAATGGATGGAAAGATAATTCAGGATCATGGAGGAGGAGAGCGCCATGCCTGTGACTCCTAGTCGGAGGGGCTCTGTAATCCATTACAAGTGCCCATCACCACCGCTCCCTTCTCATGACCATCATCGCATCGACGCCAGGCCTCTTGCGAAGCTCGTTCTCTGCCTCTTCCCTTCGCTGCGATGACGAATAGAACGCTACCTGGCACTAGCAGACCTCTTTAATCTTGGGAGCGTCCGTTTTAGAAGATGATGGCTCCTCAACCTGCAAATCTCATTGGCGATCTTTTGCTGCAAAGTACAACGGGAGACATGCGCCAGAAGTGTTCGGCTTTTGGCAGCCGCGCTTTGTGCTGATTCATCAGAAAGGGCACTAGTATCTCGTCTTCGTAAGCGACTGCAGGTTGCTCTTATACCACCATCTTCCATCAGCACCACCCACTTGCGATTTGCACGCCAGTCCACAAGCAACGCTGAAAATGGACGCAAGTAACCCTATCATCCTGTACGACATCCCCAGTCCTCACCCTGATAAGGCATGGTCGCCCAACACATGGAAAACGCGGTACGTATCCCTCCCTTATCCTAGCACGTTCGTCGTGGACCTCGCTCATCTCATACGTCCCACTCCAGATACTGCCTAAACTATAAACGCCTCCAGTACCGCACTGAATGGGTCGAAATGCCTGACCTCGAATCCCTCTACGCCAAACTCGACCTTCCCGCCGTCCCCATGCACACCAACGTCACATACCACTCCGTCCCCATCATCACCGACCCCTCCACCGGACGCACCATCTCCGAATCTCTCGATATCGTGCGGTACCTTGACGAGACGTACCCTTCCACGCCGAGGTTGATCCCAGAGGGAAACACGATGCTCATTCATGGGTTCGCGATGCTGTTTGCGAAGCAGACGTTTGGGCATCTGGTGATGCTGATTATGAGCGAGTGTAAGTTGAACGAAGCGAGCTTGGGGTTCTATGAGAAGACGAGGCCGGCGTATTTTGGGGTGCCGACGTATGCTGATTTGAAGCTGACGGGGGAGGCGAGGAGGAAAGAGGTCGAGAGCTTGAAGGCGGGGTTGGATGGGATAGCGAAGCTGTATGAGGTGAATGGGAAGGGGGAGTACGTGATGGGGGAGAGGCTGTCGTATGCGGATGTGGTGGTGGCGGCAATGTTGAAGTGGTGGAGCTTGAATTTGCCGGAGTGGGAGGAGGTGAAGGGGTGGAATGGGGGGAGGTGGGCGAGAGCGTTGGAGTTGATGGATGAGAAGTATGGGCAGGTTTTGTAGGGGGTAGCCTTGAAGCCTTGAAGTACGTTCGCGTATTGCAACTGCTAAATCTTTCTCGAACCCACCAGTTGAATTCTATCTATGACGCTATCCCAATCGAAGATCCTCGACGGGTATCGTGGTCAGCACAAAGCGCATAGGGACGATGTCCAACATGATCGTTTTTGTCTTGATAGATCTTCAAGATCCTGCTCCCATCGGATAAGATCCAGGCGAAACAAACTTAGGGCTCGGACTTCTCGCATCAACTTGGCTCGCTGCTCGACTCGTTGCACCCACTTAGAGTCCGTCCGCTGTGTATCAGTGTGTTTTCACTAGTATTCCGCCGATGTCTTATCTTCAAAATCTAAAGAGGAAGGTCTCGTTCTGCTGACGCTGTAGCATCTTCGGGCCGATATGTATGCAGATGAGAAGCATCCTTGCTGCCGTCGGTGGGCAGAAGTACGCAAGTACAATGTGTCTATATCGCACGAACTGAATCGAACGGCCTGGTTATTGAGATAGTTTTGAATGGCTTTGTATGGGTTTCATGGGCATCTCCTCGGCGATGATGATGCTTATTTCTTTAAATGCGGTTAGGCTTCACCTCGGTACTGTAATTGTATCCATTTCGTGAGCCTCATCCACACCAACAGGCCGGTGCGAGCAGCATGTTCTCCGTAGAACGCTTTCCAGGCCTGCCACCTCACCGCCGGAATACGCAGGTGCAGATGTTCAATATATTGGCTGTACGTAACGTTCCTGCGTTTGATCGATTGAATTCACTTATTCTCCTCGGGCCACGACGGGCTTTGTGCTTCTCTGCCAAACTGAGTCGTCCCTGGGCTATTCGACCTTTCCTGAATTGCGCATCAATATCGCAGCGACCTACTCGGCTTGCATTGCTCCGATTATTTGCCCAGGCATCCCTAATCATACTTGCTGCATCTTCGAGCTGATACCATGAGTGAGGCTGCAGGACACATGTGTCAAAAAATCGGCCAATCTAAGATGTCAGTCCATCGGTTCGTCTGCCGAGGAGGAGGCGATGTTCTCAGCTTCTGATAGCCGTAAAGGCTTCTACATGTGCATACATACGTTCGTCCCTCCCTCCAACCCTCACCTCTTGCAGGAGCGACGCAGACTCATACTGCGCCTCCAGATTCCCTTTGACCTCTGTAAGTATCTCCTTAGTGCTCGCCCGACCATAGTTTCTTGACGGACATACCGCTTTGCTCCCGCTATTGAGGGTCATTGGACGGTATCCTCCGTCTCCGAGAACATTCATTCGTCTGCCCTCACAGAACATTCAGTGTACATATCGAATCTGAACTCAGCCGGCCACATGGCTGGAGATCAAACAAACGCACATCAGCATTCAAGTCGAGTGAGTGGACTCATAGATCACTCGTCACGCTCGGATAGAATAAATACCTACTCCTCCTACCACATTCGCCTCAGCAGACCTTGTCCTTGTTCCCCTTTTGTGGCGTACCTCGTTCTCGATCTTGGAACAACAATAAACTCGCCCCAAACATGTCGTCATCTGGGGATAAACAGGTATTTGTGCATAGATGTCTCGTTGTAACTCTCGCCACATAATGTATTCCCTTAGCCGTTCAGGAAGCAATCTACGACTAAACCTCCTTCCGATCCCTACGAGTTCAAGATGCAAACCCAGTCCGCGGCTCTGAACGACTACTCTATCTGGACGGGAGAGGGTGTGCCGCCACACCGTCTGGGGAATGAGGCAGACTTCTACATCCATCGAGTTTTTGACAGCCATGGTGAGACGGATTACCGACTCTATTTCAAGAGCCACGGTCAATGGAAGCGGTACCTTCAAGAAGCACGATCAAAGCAAGAGGCCCACGCGATATCTCACCCCATTTATACCGATGCTATTCTTTTCGTCGGAGCGTCGAACGTTCGATGGGTCTCTTCGTGGCAGGTGTACAAGAACGTGCGGCGCCAGCACGAGCTGAACGCCACATCCGAGAAACATCTCCCCAGGCGTCTTTGGATAATCTGCCAGGGACTATGTGAACGAGACGCTTCGGCAGCCACAGATCCCAAAGGTAAGAGAAACGCGCGGGAACGAGAGAAGAGGCGTCGGCAAGCTCGGTGGCACTCAGGGTCTCGAGCGGGCAGTAGCGTGAGTATATGGCGCGCTGATGATACG